TTTTTTTTTTTTTTTTTTTTACCAAACCACTTTCTCCCCCCTCTAGATTTTAGTTGACTGGGCGAGTTATCACAACAATAAAAGAAACACTTTTTGAAACAAGAAATCACCCACAATTCCCCCGAAGGAATTCATTGTTTACTCCTCTAATCTTTGACCATGTGAAAAATCTACAGCAATCATGATGTTGTTTGAAAAAAATTTTTGAACTTTGGAAGTTGTACCAATAGTGGGAGGCCCCCCCCTCATTCTTTTAAACAGAAACTGCAGCTTGGTTGATTAAAACATATTTGCTTTTCTGAGGTCTGTGTGTGTTGTGTGGAGCTTTCCGTTGGGTCGGGAAGGAAGTGTTTGCCCGATTTTCGCCCTGGGTCTGCCTTACTTGGCCGGTCTCTGCTTGATGTTCTGCCCCGCCCTGTGCCGGGCACCGGGGAGTGGACTGAGAGACAGGGACACTCCAGCCCTTCCCTCAGTACTGCCTGCTCCAGCAGGTTGCTAAGAATGTCCCAGGACCCACTTAGAGGGCACAGTGGGACGTGGGTATTTAGGTGCCTGGAATGTTTTGTAGGGTATCAGTGGGCAGTGAAGATTGGCTTCTGGAAGGAGGCAAAGTTGAGCCAACCTTGAAGAACAGATCAGGGGTTAGAGACAGGAGTGTGTGTGAATGTGTGTATGAGGTGTCCCAACACAAGTGCTGTTCACTTTGTTTCCCTGCATCAAGACATTTTGGTGGCACCAAGGGTGGGTTAGTCGGTTTTTTATCCCCACCCCACCCCAAGCTCTTGTGTCTGACCAGTAATAATATTATTACATGTTAATGGTTATCATTATTATTAATAGCAATCCCTATTAGTCACTTTTAACTGGATTGTGGGGTAAGTGCTTCACATATTTTATCTCATTTAATCTTCCCAAGGACCTTATGAGGGTGGGCACCATTGTTCTTTCTGTTTTGCAGAAGAGAAAACTGAAGCATAAAGCAATTTAGTTGTCTGCTCATGGTTTACCACCTGGTCTTTCTCCTGCTCTCTCCCCTTCTCCTTAGTAATCTCAAAAAGGAAAGAGGGTGCTTGGGGAATTAGTGTCCACTGTGGAGTAGATTTCATTTTCCCTGTGTGCCTGGAAGAGCAGAGGTGTTGGCAGGGCAGACCCGAGAGGTGGTGGTGGTGGTGACAGATACGAGTCAGAGGGCCAGACCAGGTGGGAGTGGAGGGGGCCTGCAGCTGGTGGTCTTGGTGGGAGAGGCAGTCTACACAAGCTGCTGGTGTGTCTGGTTCCAGTTCCGCATATGTCCATGTACCCACACCCACTCAACAGATTTCCTATCATTTCACCTTGGGGGGCTTTTTGGACTATGGGGTACCCCTCCCACCAACCCAATGTGTAATTACCCCAGGACAGAAGTGCCCTCCTGATAAAACCACACATGCGATCTCAGGGAACTGGTTTTGTGATTTAAAAAAGCAGCCAGGGTTTAGGGAGGTGGCCTCACTCTCTTTGTACAGTGTAGAAAATGGAAGGATGCCACATTACCACCAGGTTGAAACACTGGCTCCATGGAGAGTTTGCATACAAACATTGGTCTATGGCCACCCTCCTCCCCCAGTCCCTCCACAGACACCAGGTTAAGAACCCTGAGTGGAGTTTAGTGGCTCCTGAGTTTTTGTTCTTTCAAAGAAGCACACTCCAGAGCCCACTAGCTTCATGGAGAATTCGCTGCATGGGAGTTTGAAAACAAGGAACCTGTCACTTTTTGTCCACCGGTGACCATAGAGTGTCACAAATAGGATTTGGCTAAACTCAGGGGGCCTTGGGGTGGTTTGTTGGGGTCATTTCTGTGCCCTATGAGATCCTCGTATTTATTCCAGTGGTTTCTCCCCAGGTTCTAGAATGGAGAATATTTTAAAAACAAAAACAAAGACAAAAAACCAGCTATAAATGGGTTCTTTAGTTTCTGATGATTTTCCTTTTTCTTACCATAAGTTGGTTTTTGGATCTCAGAAGTATTACGCTAGCGCACTCAGCTTTCAGTCAACGGGAGGTGGGGGGAAGGAAGGCAGCTGGCTTTTAAACTGATGGTTTCCGTGCTTTGCTTCCTCTGCCACCTGGGCTTGGGCAAACAAGGCTTGTATTTTGAGTGTGAGCTCTGGCTGCTTGATGGATTGACCTAGCTCACAGGCAGGCACCCACCTGTGTGGATTAAGTACACCCATTTCCCCTTCTTTCTAAAAGATGTGCTTAAAGGTGGCGGGAACCTTATGCCGGCCCCATAATTAAATGGGCTTTAAAAAAACAAATATGAAACCTGCTTTGGGTGAACTTACATCATCAGATCCCCACTCCCCCACCCTCCAAACTCCTAACCATTGCTTCCCAGATTACTTACATCTGTGGCAAGGGTAATGCAGAGCCCACTGGGGCAGGAGACTAAGGGGTCATCCCCCTGCCCTTGCCTTTGTGTCTCACTAGGGGTGGAGGCCCAAGGTCCTGGGCCTTGCAAGGCCATTTAAGGAAGGCTGGCTGCTGCTCCTGCCTTTCCTCTCTGCCAGGTGGTTATGGAAATCCCTGTGTGCTCTCCGGGGCTTTTTATTGAGCCAGCCTTTTCTTCCGAAATGCTCACCTTGGTGTCTGTTACACATTCCCTTCCAAGCGTAGCCCCAGATAAGCCAGACGCTGAAGCAATCAGCTCTCTCATCTCCCAGAAGCTGCCAAAACCCTAAAGTCCCCGAGAGGCACCTGTCACAATCCAGACTTCTGGGTTTCCACTCTGCCTCAACTCCCATCTTCTCTCTGGGCTTCAGGCTTTCAAGGAGATGAATGAAATCAGTATGGCTGGTCAGGGTAGCTCTGTAAGTACCTGAAGGGTCCAGGTTTGAATTTCAGCTGTTAGCTGCGTGACCTTGGGTAAATCAATTTACTTCTACGAGCCTCAGTTTCCCCATGTGTGAAATGGGGGGCAATGATACAGGTTTGTCATGAGGATTAAATGTTCATATGCATTCATTTGTTTAGCCACAAATACACGAGTGCCCATTGAGTGCCAGCGCCGGGCTGGACCCTGGGATTACAGTGCTGAGTAAACAGATGTGGGCTGAACATAAAGGCAAGTGGGACAAATGTAAAGAGAGAAGGAGTCATGAGATGATGGCTCATTTCTTAGGGACAGAGTAGACGCTCAGAGACCGTTTTGAACAGATGAATGAACGAATGAATAAATATTGACTACTCCTCATACCTTGGCTTGTTCTTTTCTTCTTAATCTTCGTGGCCTTAGGCCAGCCCTAGACTGTTGATCGTAAATGGCAGGGAAGAGCTGGGGCTGTGGCTCTTGGAGCTTTGTGATAAGTGTGTCCTGGGCATACAGAGCCCTGAGTGCTTCCCTCTGAAAGCTTCGGAGGGCAGAGAAGGGAGACCTCAAACCTAAATTCGGAAATGGAAGGGCAGTTAGTCATTTTTAAGTGTTTTTCATCTTTGGTCAATTAAAAAGAAATTAGTGGTGGCCTTCCTCTCTCTCTCTCTGTTTCTTTATCTCTAATTTGTTTCCCATTTATATTCCTCAGCTTATGCTCTACAGGGCTTCAGGTCCCTCCTCTTTCGGCACTTTTCCTCTTCCTGTTCCTTCCTCTTCTTAATCTACCTCCAGTCCTCCACTTCCCCCCAAGGCCCTGCCTGCATCTTCCCAACATTTAGGGGCTTCCTGAGTCCGGCTGCCTACATTGAAATCCAGGTGATGCCCCTTGCCAGCTGAGGGACATTGGCCAAGGACTTTCTAAGTGTCCGTTTTCCCATCAGTAAAATGGGCAGAATAGTACCCAGTCATAGGGTGTGCCAAGTGCTCGATGCATATTAAATATTAAACCCGTGGAGTATCTGGTGCCTTCTGTTTGAGACACTCCCTCCCGTGTTTTACCTTTGGTTCAAACGTTTCCCTGTGCTCCCTCCTGCCCAGCAAACCAGCCAAACCAGTTTCCTCAGTCTCTATGCTCCTGTGTTAAAGCAAACACTACTCTGCTAACAGTGACTAGACCAAAGTGCCCTTTGCTAGAAAAGGAAATTCTGGTATTGCTTGCCACTGTGCAGTGGTCTGAAGTGAGTCTGCCTGTTGACCTGCTCGTGAATATTGTTTAGAATTGGGGTGGGAGGAGTGGGGCAAGGAGCAACCTAGGGTGAGGAATTCAGGATGACCTTAAACGGTTCAGCTTCTGTTTGGTTTTTAGAAGTATTTCATCACACATGCTTTAGGATACCAGTCTGTTTTCCCA